AAAAAAAAAAAAAAAAAAAAAAAAAAAAAAAAAAAAAAAAAAAAAAAAAAAAAAAAAAAAAAAAAAAAAAAAAAAGTAAACAATAATTCTAGGCTAAATATCACCTAGATGGGACTTTACCATGTCTAAAAAGACCATGCTTATTATAGATCTTAGTTGTCATTAGTCCAGGAAAAGATACAGCTACAAACAATGAAGAGAAGAAAATATAATTTACACGTCGATTTCCGACTACTGCAAACCGAGTACCCGAAAATTTATCACTTCCAGTCTTGCGTTTCATCCGACAGCAAAGCTGCATTCGTAAATAGAACACGAGCACACGAGCACGTTCGGGTTGTGTTCTGAAGGATGTAGCAAGTGATCATACTCTCTACAGTAGCATGAACAAGCAAACCGTCAGTTCTACAGCTTGTGAACATCACTGCGAGTTGCTATTTTCATGCTCTTTTTCCTCTCCTTCTGGCTTACTACTTTTACCAATTTTAGCAGAATATTTGGCAAAAGCAGCAGACAGAGCTGATTTGATGTTCAATTCAGGTTCTTTTTTGTGTTGGCTAGCATCTTCTGTGCTCTTCCCATCCACATCTTGTTCTTCACCAACCAAGCGAGGTTCGGTATTATTCTGGGTTGGGGTTTCTAGAACGGCAGGATGGGTTGAAACAACGCGCTTGAATGGCTCATGAAAAGTGTCGTACAGCCGCCTTACCTGATGAGTAAGATGAATTTAATAACAGCATTCGTGCAAACAAACAAGCTACGTATATCATAAATGTTATTGATACGGTATGTCACTATGTGACGCTCGTATTCATTTGCATCTTCCCCAGCATACCGCTATCTAACAGTTGTAATTTTTTCTATGATTACGTTTATGTTAAAAACATGTTATTGTCTTGTTGATAACAAAGAAAGCTATCCTAGCTGAAACCAGCTGAAATATTATGAATAACATCGAAGACATCATACATTTTCGAAACAAATCTGCTAAACTAACGAGTAAGAGTACAAATAGAACTAAGGACACACTCGAAGAAGGGTCCTGCTTCGAAAAAAAAGGTCTACCTTGCGTTCACCTATGCCAGGGCAACGAGCTAGATCTTCCATTGATGCATCCATGACATGAGACAGAGACTGCAATGGAAAACTAATTAGCAGTTCAACACCAAACAAGACATAACAGACAAGAACTGAAGAATCTTAGCAAAAACAGCAGAGGCGTACCCCAAATGTCGTCCCGAGGGTAACCACATCAGTCTTGTTAACATGCCGAACTGATGTTAGGACATGAGTTAGCTACAATTAAAACGAGAAATGTAATTCAGAATGTATTTAAAGAGCAAAATAAGTAAAACCAATTGTCGTGGATTTAGCTTTTTGGAAAGAAAAAAATCGAGGCTATAGTTGATATAATAAACCTTTGTTGAGGATGGTTGGTGGGAGAGTCCCACGTTGGCTAATTAAGGGGATGATCATGGGTTCATAAGTAAAGAATAGAGCTCCATTGGTACGAGACCTTTTGGGGAAACCAAAAGCAAAACCATGAGAACTTATGTTCAAAGTATAAAATATCATACTATTGTGGAGAGTCGTGATTCCTAACATAGTATTAGAGTCATGCCCTTAATTTAGTCATGTCAATAGAATCCTCAAATGTCGAACAAAGAATTGTGAGCTTCGAAGGTGTGGTCAAAAAGTGACTCATATGTCGAATAAATGGTGTACTTTGTTCGAAGACTCTAGAGAAAGGAGTCGAACCTCAATTAAAGGAGGTTGTTCAAGGGCTCCATAGGCCTCAGGGAGGCTACTTTGTTCGAGGGGAGGATTGTTGAGGATTGTTGGTGGGGAGTCCCATATCGACTAATTAAGGGGATGATAATGGGTATAAGGCCTTTTTGGGAAACCAAAAGTAAAGCCACGAGAGATTATGCTCAACATGAACAATATAATACAATTGTGGAGAGTCGTGATTCCTAACAATATGACAGTGGTCTCACAAAAATTAATGTTCAATAGGCAAAAAGCTTTAAGAAAAACCAATACCCGAGAGAGGTAGTCAGTGTCCATCTGACCTTGAATAAGATCTGCGGGCTTGTTTTCGTAAACTTTTATAGTCTCCAAGTAACGACCACACTCCTCCAAACTAATAAAAAACAGAAATTAAACTTTTAAATTCACTTTGCAATATAATACTTACCAAAATCTTCAATAGACAGCACTAAAATGCTTAATAATGAAATGTACCTCCAAGCACAAAGAAGGGTACAATCGTGAAGTAGAGCTGTTTTGGTGACTTCAAGCAAAGGCTTGACAACATCTTCCTGAAAGAAACTAATCGATGACATTACTTCACACGAGCATCAAATGACTACGAAGACTTAATCTGGAAAATGGAGAACAGGGTAAGAAAAAAGGTGGCTAGGCAGTACGGTTTCTTACCACATCGACATGACACAATACGACTCGAAGCTTGAAATTCTTTTGTAGTTCTCTTATACGGTAGTATAGATAGTCCGGATGCAGTAGATGATACCGAAGACTGCAAAAAAGGATTAATCTAACCATGAAATACTCCAACATACAGAAAGAAGAAGACTAGATGATTGATGCATAATTTTTTGCAAGTTCAAAGCCAGTACTAAGGTTAAAAATTCAAAGGCTAAAGCAGCTCTGGTGGTGTGTTATTTGCAAGCAGCAGGAAGAGGACCTTGACCTTATACTTTGGGATTTTCCTTCAGGACATTTGGGTTTATTTTGGCTAGCAATAGAGGTTGTTGTCTATGTTCGAGGAGGAGCTCCCGAACCCTTCTTTTAGGGATAAAGGAAAAGTTTTGTTTGTGGCAAGCTTGTGTTTTTGCTACTTTGTGTTAAATTTGGTTAGAGAGGAACAATAGGATATTTAGAGGGCTAAGGGATCTTGAGAGGAGCTTCAGTAGTTGGTTAGGTTTAGGACACGTTCGCTGATCGGGCATTTTGTATTACCAACTTACACTTTGTTGGATTGAGATTTATTCATGTAATTAGTGTTAGACCTCCTTTTTGAATGTCTTGTAGATTCTTGAGAAAAGTCAGATGTGAGATCCCACCTCGGTTGGAGAGTGGAACGAAGCATTACTTATAAGGGTGTGAAACTCTCTCCCTAGTAAATGTGTTTTAAAATCTTGAGGGGAAATCTAGAAGTGAAAGCCCAAAGAGGACAATATCTGCTAGCGATGGATTTTGATTGTTACAAATGGTATCAGAGCCAACACCAAGCGGTGTGCCATCAAGGACGCTGGGTCCACAATGGGGGTAGATTGTGAGATCATACATCAATTGGAAAGGGGAACAAAGCATTCCTTATGAGGGTGTAGAAATCTCTCTCTAATAGACGCGTTTTAAAACCTTTAAGGGAAGCCCAAAAGAGAAAGTCCAAAGAGGACAGCATCTGCTAGCGGTGGATTTGGGCTGTTACAAATGGTATCAGAGACAACACCGAGCAGTATGCCAACAAGGACGCTGGGCCCCCAAGGAGTGAATTGTGAGATCCCACATTGGTTGGAGAGGGGAACAAAGCATTCCTTGTAAGGATGTGGAAACCTCTCCCTATTAGACGCGTTTTAAAACCTTGAAGGGAAGCCCAAAAGGAAAAGCCCAAATAGGACAATATCTGCTAGCGGTGGACTTAGGCTATTACATCAGACCTCATTTAAGTATGTCTTGTAGATTCTATCTTGTAGATTATTTCATCTCTCAATGAAAACTTGGTTCTTATTTTTTTTTAAAAAAATATCAAATGCTAAAGAAAGATACTAAATATAACCACATTTCATAGTAGGAATGACTTCAATGATTCATAAACTCTAGTTTATGAGTGCCAGTGTTGCACATAAGTCAGCCAAAACAAAGCTTAATATGCACACTAGTCAGCCAAAACAAAGCTTAATATGCACACTGGGCACTCTAAATCAAGAGTTCAATTTTATTTTGTTTTATTTCTTTTGATACAGAGTGAATAGAAAGGGAATGAAACTCAAACCTTAGATAGAGAGCACAAGAGCTCCGCCCGAGTAAGTAATCCGGTACAACATCAGCAAAAGTCCATCTCACATTCCTAATGTGTTTGAGAAGTGGATTTCCCCTCTGAGAGAAACATGAGATGAACCAATTCACTATTATTAACAGCCTAGTAATGGTATTAACTTCAAATAAAGTAAACTTGAAGTAATACGCCAAAAAAATATACTTCTTGTGAGATCCCACATCGATTGGAGAGGAGAACGAAGCATTATTTATAAGGGTGTGGAAATCTCTCCCTAGTAGACGCGTTTTAGAAACTTTGAAGAGAAGCCCAAAAGGGAAAACTCAAAGAAGAAAATATCTGCTAGCGGTAGGCTTGAGATGTTACAAATGACATCAGAGCTAGACATTGGGGGGGTTTGTCAACAAGGACACTGAGCCCCAAAGGGGGGTGGTGTGCCAACGAGAACGTTGGGCCCCCCCCCCCCCCCCCCCCCCCCCCCCCCCCCCCCCCCCCCCCCCCCCCCCCCCCCCCCCCCCCCCCCCCCCCCCCCCCCCCCCCCCCCCCCCCCCCCCCCCCCCCCCCCCCCCCCCCCCCCCCCCCCCCCCCCCCCCCCCCC